AAAAAATGAGGTGGTTTTCCTTTTTGAGGTCAGCATCTGCAATATGAGACCACAGACATTTAGTGTTAGGAAATGATTGAAGAAGACCAATGGGAGGCTGTGGAATAGCTTTGGTGCATGCACACTTCTACAGTAGCAGCCATTCAAAATGGCCCTTCCAAGCCAAAGGCCAGCCGAATGGCAGCCAACTTCCAGCCACTGGAGTATCCCCGTCCTTCTACTGGGCGTGCATATTTTTTTACTCTGACTCCACCCTTTCACTGAATTATAGGGTGTGACAGGAGAAGGAGCTTCTCTTTAGATCTTAATGTCCAAAAATCATGACAGAAAGAATATTTTAGTACAAAGACTGATGTGTAAAAAAGGAATCTTAGGGGACCAGCTGAGGACCAGCCAAGGGCCCATCAAGGAAAGTGGGGAACTTTTGAATTGCTAATACTATATATTGCAGACCAAACCAGATGAAGGTAATGATATTCAGGCGGAAGCAGGGAGAGGTCTACTGCAGTTTCCTGTTCTTGAGAATAGACATGGTTGACTGTAGACACTCTGCAAGACAGTGGTTTCTCCATGACTCAACTCTATTATTGTATCTTTTCAGTTCAGGTGAGGATTACGTTGGGTGAACCAAGAGTACCCTAAAACAATTGGAGTTTGGAGTGAAGAGAAGAGGAAAACATATATTTATTCAACATGATTGCCTGACACCAGAAGTGTTACTGGTTCTGTGCATGATTACATGCAGAGGACTTCCATATAGAGCTGAGACATGAAGTGGTTCAGGTGGGGATACAACAGGAAGAAGTAATTGTAAAGCTAAAATGTTATCCATAAGGCTTTGTTCACAACAAGAATCGATAAAAGCAAAAGAGGGAAATGGTTGATTCAATAGAAGGGAGCACGGTAATGTCATGTGGAAGAATCTGTTCCTAAAACTGCCCATCTGGTCCCTTCCTCACCAGTGAACCCTCCCTTTTAGCTGCTTTGGGCAAGAAGAAATTAAGTCAGTACTCCCACTGCAATACAGGCAGTCAAGTTTTCATCTGACGTTGTCGTTCCTCAGGTGCTAACCAAGTAAGGTACTTTGCATCAGTTCCGCATGATCTGATCTGGAGAAGTCGAAATTTTCTGAATAATCTCGAAGATGAGATTGGGGAAGAGGTAAAATAATCCCCCCCTCGCACTATTAAATAAAAGTGAGTCGAAAACAGTGTCTTAAGGAACCCCTTATGCAATCACAATTCATTGAAATGAATATTTTCCAAATGACTCAAAAAATTTTTATTTTGAAAATAGCATATGAATCAGTCTGGCACATCTCCATTCTATTTATAAGGATGATTTAATTCAATGTGTGAAATGCTGCCCTGAGATCCAGCAAAAAAAAAAAAAAACAGAAAAAGTTTTTTGCATCAGAATCAGAATCAGAAATACTTTAATAATCCCAGAGGGAAATTACTTTTGTTACACGCTCCAGTTACAGTTTTACATGATATATACACACAACCAACTATACAATATAATAAAGATAAAAAAATAAGAATAAAAAGAGATAAAATATATATACACATATAGCTCTTCTGTATATATATATCTTTACGTATATCTATGCATATGTAAAAACTAAACCAAATAAAGTGAAAAGTCCAATTAAAGTGATAAATCCAAGTAAAGAGATAAAAGAGCTGTGTCACTTGAAAGGACATTGAATCAGCAATCACCTAAAAGGTGTCTTTTGGGATTGGGAAGAAATTACTGATCCTTTGATGAGTATAAAACAAGTTTTAAAATGGTCCAGACATTTTAGTTTCA